TGGGCTTATTAAAAATAGATCATGCCAGACAAACTTTGCTTTCTTTGACAAAGTGACTAAATTACTGGATCAGATATATGCTGTAGACATAGATTACTTAAACTTGAGTAGTGCATTTGACAAAGTAAACTAAAGCTTACTTCTTGGTAAGATAAAAATATATAGGATAGATAGTATATACTAAATGGATTTGCAATTGGCTGACCAACTGCATTGAGCATGTAGTTCTTAATGGAACTATATCTTCATGGAGGGAAGTATGCAGCGGGACACCCAGGATTTTGTCTTAGGCTCAGAACTCTTCAACATCTTCATAAATGATCTAGATGAAGGGATAGAAGGGGACTCATTAAATTTACAAATGACACTAAACTAGGGAGGATAGCAAACACTCTGGAAGATAAACTCTAGATTTAGAAGGGTCTTGGCAGATTTGAACACTGGGTCCTATCCAGCAAAATGCAATTCAGTGGTGAGAAAAATAAAGTCCTTGCACTTAAGCAAGAAAATAAGATGAGAAAAATAAGGTCCTACACTTAGGCATGAAAAGCAGATACAGGTATAATAGGTACAGGTATAGAATAGATGGTATCTGGTCAACAGAAATAACTGCAAGAGAGATCACCACTAGGAACTAGCAATGTGCTGCAGCTGCAAAAAACAATCAATATACCCTAGGCTGTATTAGCAGAAGGATAACTTGATAGTGTCACTTTATACTGCACTGGTGAGACCACATTTGTAATATAACATCTAGTTCTGATTGTCAAGATACAAAAAAGAGGCTGAGACCCTAGAAAGATTACATAGAAGAGCAACAAAGATGATAAGGAATCTGGAAGCTAAACCATACATACAATGAATGGTTGAGAGAACTAGATATGTCTAGTATTACAAAGAGAAAGACTAGGAGCGGTATGATAGCAGTCTTCCACTACTTGAAGTGTTCTCCCAGATAAAAGGAGGTCATCCATATTTTCCCAAACACCTGAGGGCAGGACAAGAAATAATGGATGGAAGATCGTTAAAGAGAAGTCCAACCTAGAAATTTACTGTCTGTGAAAACTATCAGTGGAATGGCTTGCATCCAGAAGTTGTAGATTATTCTGATTGGTTGTCACAAGCATGCAGTGTTGTTCTAGGCGCGGTTGGAACACTGTTGCTACCAAAACAGGTTTGGTTGTCACAAGCATGCAGTGTTGTAGGTGTGGTTTTATGGGGTTCAATGGGGTAATAACGGTGGAAAGATCTTGTGGCACTCCCCGCTGTGCAGTCATTGCCATTGCTGGTAATTCCATCAGGTTCAATGTGGCAGCAACGGCGGGAGGATCTCGTAACCTAGGTGTCGTGACATCAACTCTGCGGTTGACCAGCGAATCAGGTTGTTGAGATTCCTCTGTTCGTCTACTCGGTCTTGGGGGGCTTGTGGCTGGCTGTGGTGCTCTCATCTGTGCATTCTGGAATGCGCTTTGGTTGTCCACATAGGCCTGTACACGGCTGTGAGAACTTTCCCTTCCTAGACTTTCCAAAATGGGCGTTGACATGGCATCTTCTAACTCTCTCTGCAGGATCGCTTCTATTGCGGCTGCTTCTTTTGCTTTCTGTTGTCGCTGGAAAATCTCAAAGTTGGCCTGAGCTTTGGCCAAGTCTTCTCTATGTAGCTTGTCGTCTACTGCTACTTGTGCAGCAATGTTAGCCATTGCGGTATTGATCCGTGCTTCCCTGAGACGGGCGGCGATGCTCTCTGCTCCTGAGGCTCGAGATGAATGGCTCTGGCGAGAAGATGCCTTTGAATGGCGTGAGGGTCCTATGACGTGCGGTTGTTGGGACATGCTGGAATGTGTCTTGGATATGTGGCAAAAAGATGAGGCTGTTTCAGACACATGGGATGGATCTGCGTGCGACCATTGGGATGGTGCATATGAATAGCGGGAGACTTTGGACTCGGCCCTGTCGACCAGTCTGCTTTCCTGGCGAGGCTTGGGCTGTGGGGAACCCTGTGAGCTCTCTAGAAACTTCTTGCGTTCCTTGTTTAGTACCTTGAGGTTGTGCATCTTGCTATCGATTCTTGAGTCTCTTAATTGTTCTTGAATGTCCTTGAGTTGCCGTTCAGAGTCCATCCATTGGACGTAGGCGTCTTCCTTATCTCCTTCCACTGCGTATGCCCGTTCTGGGGAGAGTTCCTCCTTCTGTTCATGGTAGAGTTTGTATAATCTCTCCCAGCTTCGTTCATGGCGTCTGTGGATGATGTGCCATTTCTCCATCAGATGTGAATGCATGGCGTCTGTGGGCTGGTTGATGTATCTCAACTAGGCTGATAGGTTGAACCCCTTCTGCTAGACCAGTAGGATGCTCAGCTATGGCTAGGATAGGTTCAGTGTCCTTCTCAGCTATTTTGAAGAGAATTTGAAGAATTTCTCTCTTTGACCACTAGGGGTCGCTACTTGTAGATCAGCTTCTGAGGTGCTGTCTGTGGGTGGAGATGCCACTGGGTGCGTTCTTCTGTGTTTGTGGGTACTTCAGTGCAGTTCACCCCTTCACCACTAGGGGTCACTTGCTGTGGGTCAGCTACCAGGGTGCTCTGGCTTCGAGGTTCACCCTTTGTCCACTAGAGGGGCTTCTCTGGGTGCGGTTAAAGGCTTGCGTGTAGAGCTTCCTTTAACCACTAGTGGGCTTCTGGAGAAAGGCTAGCCAAATTCTTCCTATTGCCACGTTACTGCTAGTGAGCTACTGAGAGAATGTAGAGGTACAAACTCCCACCTGGTCAGTTGCAGGCTGGAACTCCGGGTCATCAGCTGTGATAATAGGCGAAGGCAATTGGCTCTTGCTTCCTGTCTCTCAAGCTGGGACAGCTTAGCCTTCAGCTTGAGTGAGTGAGTGAGTACTTTTGGTAAGTTCACTCTGTGCCTCTAGGGGGTGTTAAAAAGGCTAGCCAAATTCTTCCTATTACCACGTTACTGCTAGTGAGCCACTGAGAGAATGTAGAGGTACAAACTCCCACCTGGTCAGTTGCAGGCTGGAACTCCGGGTCATCAGCTGTGATAATAAGCAAAGAGACTTGGCTTTGATTTCTTCTGCCTAAGTTCCCTCAAGCTGGAACAGCTTAGTGCTCAGCTTGGGTGAGTGAGTGCTTCTGGTAAGATCACTCTGTGCCCTCTGGGGGGTGTTGGTAGCTTGGGATAACTTTAAGTAGCTTGCACTTTAACTAACAGATTTGCTCTGTTGTGTGCTGAATTAATTGTGGCTGTTGTGACTCAGCTAGAAAAAAAAATTGCATGACCACCAGGGGGTGCTTCTGCGATGATTCCTCCTTATAACATTGGCTGAAATTCCGAGCATACCTAGGGCTGTCACTATGGCAACAGATGAGTTTATTGAAAGGCAATAAACCTTGCTTTTGTCTGAACTTTAGAGGCAGTCATTAAACAGTTCTTTGTTTCAGGCTGCATGATTCACTGGCAAAGAGGGGAGGGGGAAAAGCCTAAGCTCCTTTTGGTGTTAGAATTCAAACTTTTCATGCAAGGAACAAAGTGTAGATTTTGTTTTTCTTTCTCCCCGCTATAAACATTAATTTGAGAACAGGTCCAAAGTAATTTTGAATCAGATACAAGGCACTTTTCACTTTGAAGGTTAGCTAGCAAGCGAATTAGCATAACAAAACTTCTGAATCACTCCTTGAAAGCTGTCTTTTACACAGACACGCTGGCTTTGCTTTGCAGGCTTTTACAAGCATCAAGAGAATCTTTACTTCCTTGAAGGTTAATGTAGAGAAAGGGCTAACCAATTTGATTCTCTTTCTTCAAACTGTTGCAGCTTTGAGAGAAGAATTAATCTTTGCCAATTTACTATTTGCTTTCAAAAGATAGCACAAATTATGAGAATATCTTCTTACTATTCTGACCCAAATTTAAAAGTGTTATATTTCAAATCCAGTCAGATAGTTAACTCAAAAGAAACGATCTTATAATAAACAAATATATTTTAATGAGAAAGATTACTTGCGTTCACGTTGAGATTGGTGCTGCTGGGAATACATGTTTGTTCATCTTTTAGATCTTTCCTTTAGGTAAGAAGATATTGCTCTTTATACCATCTTTATGCTTATAGGGAGACCTTCCATGGCCCATGCTTCTTACAGACAAAGAGATTCCCATGTGGCTTGTGTCCAGGAAGTCTCCCAAAGACCTTTGGAACTCCTCCCACTGACCCATCCACATACCTAGCGTTTAACCCAATAACTGCCAGACCTTCCAACATAGAGCTGGGCCATAGAGCTATATGGGCCATAGAGCTATATAGGCCAGAACATAGATGCTCCATCACTGGAGGATTTTAAGAAAAGGTTGAACAACCATTTTTCTAGAATGGTACAACGGCTCCTGCTTGAGCAAGATTGGACTAGAAGACCTCCAGAATCTTTCAAGCTTGTTATTCTGTGCTCTATGAACTAAAATGAAGTAGATTATAGAGCTAGAATTAATAAATCCTAGTATTTAAACTCTTTACAACTTACTACACTTTGAGGTATTACAAGGGCAGTTCATCTCTTCCTTGGAACAAGAATAAGTTATTGATAATAAAGAATTTGTCTATATATATATTTTGCTTCCCATAAATTATGTTCTACTCTTATAATAAATGAGCTAAAATGAAATGAAACAGATTTGAACAGATAAATTAGGGTGAGGAATGTCTTATTATTTCACAAGTCTGCTGAGTATTTCATTGAATACCAGAGTATATCTGACTATATCATTGTAGCAAATATTTGCATGATAACTTTACACAAATGATGTGGATTGTGTCATGGAACCATTACACAAATGATGCATATTGTGTTATGGCATCATTGTGCAAATGATGTAAATTTATGCAAATGATGAAGTATGCATCATTTGTGTAATAACATCATTATGTACACTGCAACAGAATGTTGTCCATTGAATGTGAAGCACAGAAAATCAACGATTCACATAATCCTTTACATAGTACATAAGAAGTACATAAAACATTTCAGGCACCTTTATTAGGATTATTCTTATACATCAACTAAGTATTTAATTAATGCCTCAATTTAAAAAAAAACAGTTGGGGCTTCTTGTAATTAAAACATAATTCTTATATACAGAAGAGATATCCCAAATAGTTTACATATGCAGTCCAACATAGTCATTTACAAGTGATACCTAGAACTGTACCAAGAAAATAATGGCTGATCTCTCCTTTTTAAAATAAAAACTAGCAGCTATATGAATTTGCATTTTGCCTTAAATTGAAATGGTATGAGAATTACATACAGGTCCTGTGCCTGACTCCCTCCCCCCGCCCCCGGCTGTTGGGTTTTTTGTTTGTTTGTTTGTTTTTTTGCCCCTCGCGTAGTGGAAAGATTGCTTAAACAAGTGATTTCTTCCTGAGCTGCTTTTCTCTGTAGGCAATGTTTCCCTAAAAAGTGGTGACCACAAGTTAACAAGCTCAGTTCTGGGACCTTAATTAGTTAATTAGAACCCTCTGGCTGACTGGTGCTGCTTTCTGAAACTTAATCAATTTCATACAGAAAGTTTTTGTTGTCAGACACGTGGAATTTGGTTGTAAATGTGCACATTTTTATTACCATCATAGTTGTGAATAGTCTCTAATCAAAGTAGTTGCTAAACAGGGAGTGGCAGTATAGGAAAATTACATGTTTATTGAGATACATAAAACTATGAATGTGAAACAATATTTTTACTGAGAGTTTAACCCAATAATATATTTACTTATACTTACATAGGATGGGAATAAAAGTAGAGTAGAAAACTCTATAACTGCCCTCAATACAAAGTAGTATTTCTAACTTTCTTTTCATGCATAAACATCTGGTAGTGGGAAGGACAGAAAGGGGTCAAGATTGCTCAATCTGTCTTCTTACTCAGAAAAATAACTATGTGTATTGTTTATTGGCAATTAAATAAATTTTAAATTTCTTCACTATGAGGAAAGGGAAAGCTTTTCCTATAAAAGAAGGGAAGATTTTTGTATTCCCATTACCAGTAGCAGGGGAAATATAGTAATGTTAAATTCATTTGCAGGGATGAAAATGGAAGCTTTATGGTTTCCTCAATTCTGCTCATAACTTCCTGCAACTTTCTGATCAGTTGATAAACTCAGCAGATCACATAGACTGCAGGTTCTGGATAATATAGTTGATACACACATGACTTATTATGGTGTCATGTAGAAAAAGAATGTTTTCATATTAATAATAGTGGAATGCAAACTCCCCCAAAGTAAATCCATATTTTCCTTCATATATCAGTGCAAATTATTTTCATCAGAATACTGCTATCATTACAATTTTGTTCTCAGTATAGTAAATACTCAGATATTGCATAAGCTACATTTATTCTGATTGTTTTCCTCTCACTGAATACAAAGCACAAAAATAAAACCCATGAAAAGATTTATACATTTCCACTTTTAGTTGCAAGTTCTCTAGCAAATGTAATTTCTGATAATTGTTTGAATTGTCTGAATCAGGTACTATTAAATGTTGTGCTTATTTCATGATCTGCCAATTATGCATTTGCCTCAACTTATCACCTTCAATAAATTGCTGCTTTGAAAAGACCTTGTCTGAACATCCTGCCAAAGTAATTGCAGTTCATTCTGCAATTTTTTAAAAAAAAAAAACAGAATTACTCAAGGGAACGTTTCTCATGCATAACTTTTGAGTCTGGATTGTTCCCTTAAATTTTCTCTCTCATCAAGAACATGGTTCAAGAACCTGGGCAACAAGCAGGAATATCATTCTTGTTCTTTCTCATCTCAGCCATGCTTAGTATATTAATTTGAAAAACACTTTGTGTCCTAAAGAAATTGCTGGGAATGGATTCTCATCAAAATTTAATGTGTGTTTCTCACAAACTATTTCATATGTATATGATAAAAATACAAACATATAAAGCAAGAAAAAGAAAAAAAAGCAAATCAAACCTAAAAATGCAAGAAAGGAAAAAACAAATAAAAATAGAAAAGAAAGAAAAAGATACAAAGAAAGCTTATAATCTTCTTTATAGTAGTTTTAAGTACAAAGATAATTTACTTACTCTATGGTTACAACGTAACTTCTTTTTATAATCTATCCTGTATAATCTCAAAAACATAAATTGTAAGATTTTTTTCTGTTTTACACAAGAATTCATAAGGTTTCCAGTTAACAATAACATAAATATTGTATTTCATGAAAGAAGACAATTTAACCATCTCAGGGAGTTCTATTATCTTCACCAAACATTCCTCCATTGTGGGTAATGGCAAAACTTTCCATCTTTTTGCATACAAAATAGTCTTGTGGCACTTATCATTTAAAATCCTCTGAATCAATGTATATATTTGAATCCAGAATATTCTTGCTATTTTACATGTCCACCAAACATGAGAGAACCTAAGCAGAGAAACAGAATGACCACAATCAGGCAAACAAATTAGAGGGAGTGGGAATGATTTCTGACTTCCTGTCATTCTCCCCATTGAATTTCCTTGTGGGAAGCTGGAAGAGGGAAGGGAGGGAGGAAGGGAGGAAGGGTTTCCTTCCTTCCTTTCCTGTTCCTCCCTCTCTTCCTTTTTCCCTTTTCCCAGCAGGCAAGTACTGCTGAGTGGGAAAAGAAGTGAGAGATTGTGCAAATAGCCAGGAGGCTGTCAGAGAATGTTGAAATGAGGATTACAATTTCTCCAAATTTCATTTCCATTAGCCCATTTGGTGTACTTTGGTTCCACATGTTTTGCTCTATGATGTACCATTTAGCCCAGTTAACGTACAGACCCAAGAGTTTTAATAGTATATAGATTTTTTGCTTATAGATTTTGCTGTTGAATTGTGAAGCTTTTGGTTCCCTGTGTGCAAACGGCGAGATATAAATTATTTAGATACAAAAATTAGTTTCAACAGCTCCAGTACCACCTTCATTAAGCAATTCTATATCAGTTAGAAAAGGAAATAATTAGACATACCATTATTATGATTAAAACAGAATATATAAAACATGGCATGTATGTCCCATCTTCACATTGTTTAAATGCCTGGATGTTCATTTCTTTTATGATATTTTAAAAGTAACATATGTTCAGGTTGATATGTAATGGAAATAATGTTTGATATCATTGTTCTTCAGTCTAAATCCAAATGATGGAAGTTGTAGTCAACGACTTCTAAGGTATAAAATTGGTTAACTCTGCTATAGGATTTTTCTGAGTTCCAACAACTTCTGAGCAACTTAATGTTCATGTACTCTCTTGTATTTATTTATATAAATGATATATTAATATTATATAAATATGATCAGGTATCATATTTGTTTAAAATATGTAATTATACAATCATTTTATCCAAATATGTATAGCTGATTACATTTTTGCCCAGGATTAAACTGGTATGATGAATGCAATCCTGTATTAATTTCCATTAAGGATATCACTAATTTAGTTAAGAAATGAAGGTATGATCAAGATTTTCTCTTCAGCAAAATCATTTTGATCTTACTGATATTACACACAGCATACTTTTAGTCTTTTGCAAACTGTCTTAACCTTGAGGAAGGACCTTTTCTTAAATCCTCACCCATTTGTTCTGAAATCTTTCTCAGATAAAATTTCTGCACCTCAAGTGCTTGTGATAAAGCTTTTTTAGCTATGGTATATGAAATTAGATTAGTAAAAGTTTTTGTGTGATCCTGTCATATGAGATGATATAATATCTGACAGTTCTAAAGAGCCAGGCTTGTCACTGAGGTATTCCATAGATATTTGTGTTTTTTCAGAAAAAGTTAAATAATTCAGTAATACATTTACAGTGTTTTAAAATATACAATTGAAAATTATATAAAAGTGAGAAAGTGCCTATTTTGAAAAGTGCAGTGAAGCTAGATTGATTCAAAAGTTTAATAAAATTAGAAGAATTCACTTCCATTTTATGAACCTCATATTATTTTATACAAATCAGCTGGCTGTTTTGGTTAGATTAGATTATTGGATTGTGTGATGGAGCCCTTTGATGGAGGATGTAACATTAGAGGTTGAGAAGGGTGAGGTTTCTGGAGGTAAGAAGCAGGCAACAACATCAAAGTGGTTATGAACTGGGGAAAGATACTTTGGAGAGAGATAGGACACAGGTTGTACTTAAGGAAAGTGATCTTGTGTTTTATACTGATTCTGCATTCTAGTCCTCTGAGCATGACCTAAGGCCCAGTCAACAGACCCTTAGTGGCACAAGCTTTTGACTGCTGCTGCTGCTGCTGTTGAGTACCGTATCAATCTGTAATAAGTCCTCCAAAATCCATGGCTGAATAGTGGATAACAGGGCTGACTTGGGATACTTTACTGAGATCTTGTTGGGTGGAGGTGGGTGTCCCTCTCAGAAATGTGTATTTGAGTTTTGAATGTGGCATTAATTGCACCTCCAAGGTAGAGACAATGGAAAGATTATAGTCACCTGTCAGATTCCATTTTTTTATAGATGCTGCCCCAGATGTGAAACCCTGCAGATTGGGTTGGGGTCTAGAGAATAGATGGCAGTACTTCTACTGTGACTGATATCCTATTTCATGGTAGTCCTCTACCCAGGCCACTTGATGCTGTGGCCAGGTTGGCAGAATATTTCTCCAGACTTATGGGAATATATGCCTTCCTTCAGTTCCTTTACTTTTTTAAAATTTATTGCTTATAAGTAAAACAGACATACAAAAATGTACATTAGTATTGTTTAAACCATATATTTTCATTAAAATGTTCTGCAAAATGAAAAAAGTTGCACGGGGTTTTTAATCTGTGTATGAAATCACACACACACCCCCCCGCCCTATTCACTCAGAGTCAGTTTCTTTACCAAAAATTCAACTGCAAATAAAAAAAAGAATTCCATTACTTTAACTAAAGAGTCAGTATGCTACTGGGGAGCACTTTCTCTATACAGGTGGTGATGAGTTAAGTGGTGAAAAGGGTTATTAAGCAGTATTTCTGGGAAGACCTAGAAGACTGGGAGTTACATTTAGGGGTTTAGAAGCCGAGTTAACAAGATTGAATGGCTAACGGGTCATGGAGTATAGACTATTTAACTCAACATGGGATCACTAGCTTCAGTGAAGCAAAAGAAAGTGAAAAAATGGCATCTTCTGTAAGATTCTTATAGGAGGGAAATACAAACAGACTAATATGCTGCTTATTTGCACAATATGGAACTAAAATTCTCTTTAAATTATATAATACTCCAGTTATAACACCTTTAAAATAGCATAATTATAATTTTGAGAATTTAGAATGGTGGAGCCATTCAATTACCTGCTTGAATGCTTCCCTTTAATGTTGATGCCCATCTAATGCTTAGGAGTGTTTGAAGCATACCAATTTCTGTTTGGCAAAACAAGAGTCAGAAAACAGGTGGAATGAGGAGATTACATGAAAGAAAAATAGAATGCTGGAAAAAGGATTTTAAAATCTTCTTAGACTGATCTTGACCAAAGGAGTTCAAGTAATCTCTTTTTGTAATCTCTATTAAAACAAACAAATCTGAAAACATTTCAGATAAATTCTAGAATATATCTTTTCATAAAAACAAAGCAAAAAATTAAAATTTATATTGTTAGATTTAAGTATATTGGTCATTCTTATACATTGATTCATTAGAAGTTTGTTAAAATGATACACATCTTTAAGAAGTCTCCCAAAGCCTCATGATAAGTTTTAAATAAGTTTCACCTGTGCGTAATAATATGTTTAATTTTGCAATATTTTTGTCATTATAGTGCTTAATCATTTTATAATTTAATTTCAGAATTTAATGTAAGTTTCATAGTGATTATGGTCCTTTAAATCAGGTCATTTCACAGCTAAATCATCAGCTTGCCACAGGGATGGAGCAAATGTTTTAGGCTAAACAAAAAGTGGATGTTTGTAAAATTGTTCACTATATTTTATGATATGGATATATTTTATGGCATGGGACATGAAGACATTCACTAATTCTCATTGTTATTATTAAACGTACAGATTATATTTTTTGAGATTTTTCAGAGTCTGCAATAAATAAAGTAAATAGTTAGCCCTACAGTACATACTGGAAACAGATTGTATAGAGTTACAGTATATGGAGCAAGTTTGTGACTCTTGAGGAAGATGACAGAATCCTCCAGTGCATGAGGAGGTTCTCAGAAGATCAAACTAGAAGATGTGACCTGTGGTGGAGCTAATGAGCTGGTATTTGCTTCTGTGTAAGTGTGGACTCATATTACATGTAAGCACACATTATAAAGAAAAAATCCTATTTAATGTATTTTATACAGATTGCATAGAACACACATAGCTTTTAAAATACTATATATTAAATATAGTAATAATAATAATAATAAAATTTCAAAAATATGGGTTATCACATTAAACAAAAAAAGAATAAGACCATTCAGTGCAAAAACTAGCCTAGAAAATAGCATATACAAAATAAGCTTTTAAAGCCTTTTAAAAGATGTATGAGTTGGATCAAACATAGCTCACTCTGAAGGTATCATTATCTATGAGCGCTTTAGAGGAAAAGACTCTTTCATCCACCACTGAATCACTGCCACCAGTGAGGCTATTTGTAAACAAGGTTTCTGGCCTGGCAGACTCTGATGAATATAGGTGCTCCTTTGATAGCTTTGGCTTTGTGCCTAGAAGCACATTTGCAACTGATATAGAATGAGAGACATTCTCTGTTGGCCATGATATACTTGAAATTATGGTTGGTCTATCTTTGGCAGATCAAATCAACCACTTCAGGTAGAAAAAAGGTATAGATACCATTTTAAATCTTCAAATCTTGCTTAGAATCAAGTAGTATGGTTTGGAATTTTTTTGTTTGTTTGCTTGCTTGTTCTTGTTGCTGTTTTGGTTTCTCTGAGTCAGTCTTTAACTCCTGGAAACTGCTTGCACAAATCCCTGCAATTTTCTTGGCAAGTCTTTTCAAAAGTGATTTGCCATTCCTAAGACTGAGAGAAAGTGACTGGTCTAAAATCACTTCAGCCGGCCAAAGTGGGACTAGAACTCAGGGTCTCCAAGTTTCTAGCTTGAAGCCTTAACCATGACACCAAACTGACATAGAATCAAGTTAGCATGCAATTATTAATAACGACCTGTGACCTGTCGGATCATTGATTCATGGATATTTTACAGATTCCTTAAGGCCTTCAACAACGTATTGCCTTCACTGCAAAAGTTTTTAAAAATTCAGGAAGATATTCAGAGATCTATTTGCCTTAAAATAGCCCATATTTAACTGTATAATGCAGTCAAATATCAGGACATGTTTTATGACATTTTCTATTACGTCATAAAATGCTTTATGTTGATAAAATATTATGGGACTAACTATCTGACATCAACTAAGAGATAAACTCTGCACCTAATAGATTCCTGACAAACCTAGCATACAACTTTGTCCCCCAAGAGGTAGAGAAAGGAACTAGAAGGTCAGCCATACCAGACTTAATTCTTACTAACAAAGATAAGATGATAGAAGACATTAAAGTTACAGGAACAGAAAATAATAATAATAATAATAATAATAATAATAATAATAATAATAATAATAATAGTAGTAGTAGTAGTAGTAGTAGTAGTAGTAGTAGTAGTAATAATAATAATAATAATAATAATAATAATAATAATAATAATAATAATAGCTTGGAAGAGACCTTGGAGGTCATCCAGTCCAACCCCCTGCTCGGGCAGGAAACCCTATACCATTTCAGACAAATGGCTGTCCAGTCTCTTCTTAAAAACTTCAGTGTTGGAGCATTCATCACTTCTGGAGGCAGGTTGTTCCACTGGTTAATTGTTCTAACTGTCAGGAAGTTTCTCCTTAGTTCTAGGTTGCTTCTCTCCTTGATTAGTTTCCATCTGTTGCTTCTTGTCCTGCCTTCAGGCGCTTTGGAGAATAGCTTGACTCCCTCTTCTTTGTGGCACCCCCTGAGATATTGGAACACTGCTATCATGTCCCCCCTTGCCCTTCTCTTCATTAAACTAGACATACTCAATTCCAGCTTATCTCTGAAAGACAAAAAGCAGAAGTACAAAAAGTGAAGGAAATGATTGGTCCATTAATGGGATAAAATAGCAAGAAGGTGACCAGCAGTAGGGAGAAAGAAGTACTGCTTAACTTATTTTGTACTGTCTTCACACAAAAGAAAAAAAAAAACAGTCCAACCTATCAAAGAAATACTGTAAAATGCAGATTAGGAATGCAAGTCAAATAAGCAAAAAAATGGTAAGAGAACACTATTTATCGTAGACAAGTTCAAATGATCAGGACTACCCTAGATATTAACATGAGTTGCACAGCTCCTTAGTGTGTACCCTTGTGCAGTCATACTTTAGTATCTTTGTTTCTGCCTTCATTGGGTTAAGCCCTGTGCATTTGAGCAAGATTAAAGAAACAAGAACAGATTTTAATAATGTATTTTTAATGCTAGACTGGAGTAAATACAAAATCCTGGAAATGGAAGGGGAATTTCTTATTTACAGGGAGTTAATTAAGGTACAATCTCTTTGAATAATTTCAAATGCTTCATCCTAGGTTTATTTTCACCATTTATGAGATAATTTACAGATTGGCCCTCAGAAATTAATTTACCTTCTCAGTTGCTGGGGTAAAATGCTGGTTTCAGCCATAAAAAAAGAGAAAAAGAAGATGGAGAAATATTGTCACTAAACCTGTGCCTCTGGAACCGTGACTGTTTTGGAATCACGTGCAGGAAGTTGGTATCTTCAGAGAGACTTCACTTCTTGTATGCTGGACTTTTGGATTAAGCATTTATTTCCTGGCCTGAAAGAGAGAAGGGGAATAAAGATTTTGGGGTATAGAGAAATGAAGAACAAGACAGAATGACACGTTTCTCCCAAATACCGAGGCAGATTATGACCAAAGGAAGTGGCTGCCTGCAAAAGGATGCTTGCAAACCTCAAGGAAGCCTTAGTCTGGGAAGAGGTGAGCAGAAGGCCCAGGGGGAGATGCATCCTGCAGCATCAATGTAGAGGGAAGACTATCAAGAATTCCAAAAAAAGAGCACAGATTTTAAGACTGCACCAGCCTAAATTAGCCAATTCCTTATTCCTCAGGGAAAAACTCAGGGAAACAAAGGAGGAGAAAGGGGGAAAATTGTAACTAAGCAATGGAATGGGTGGTTGCTAGCAAATAGCTCTGGGAGAGAGGGAGTAAAAGGTCAAGCCTTTCAAGTAATAGGATAAATGCCTTCTACTGGGAGGATTGTGTAGTTCAGTTTTTCTCCAAATTTCTATAAATATACAATATTTGTACATACATAGTAGAAACAAAAAAAGCATCCATGGTATCTATTTGTGAAGCAAATGTTCCATTGAAAGTCTCACTCACCCAGTGCCCTCAGTCACACTAGGACATTGATTTGTCCCTATTTCCCTTACTCCTTCTTTCCTACTCTGGTCCTCCATATGCTGTTGTTCTACTCATCATCCAAACTTGGAATTGCATCATTATTCCATTACATTTTACCCTAATATTATGCTTCAAATTTTGAGTTCCATGCATCTCCTTCTAAATATATACAATATAATATTGCAATTATAATGCCAATAGGATGCTGGGATGAAAATAGATTGCATGTAAAGTTATTCAAATGCTCAAACCAAAAGATTTAAATATGGCTTTACAAATTTACCATGCTAAAAATCAGCAACATAGTTGCAACCTCATACTCTTTAGTTGTATTGTTAAGCATAGCAAAAATAGAGGGGCAAAGGAGAAAACAAACTATACCATAACATAAGAACCAGATATCACAAACAACACATTCTAGTTACTAGGTGAAATTAAATGGAATAAGGCACCCAGAAGAATCATAATCTTAGAAAGGACAAACCAATAGATTTTCACATTAGAAGTTGTAATGAACTAAATTAAGGCTCTGGGGAGTTCAACATAAGTATTAGGCCAACATTTAATACAATCTTGTTCATTTCTAAGTTCCATGTCAAAATGCTTTCCTAGACTTTTTTTGGTACCTCTTGGGGACAAATCTCTATGCACTCTTGCTGCAATATCGCTAATAGGGTATTTCATCAGTAATGGTGGCCTCTTAATGCATTTTTCTAGAGGGAACAGAACACTTAGAATACAAGCTGGCCTCTTCCTCTTTATTGATACCATTAGCAATGTGAAATTACAGTCCACAGTTCTTTAATTAAAATTAATTCCTAGTAATTTGGGACTTCAAACTGTTGTGGGATTCTAAGCTGAGTCAAACCAAAGAAACCTGGAAATGAATCTGGGAATCTGGCTGAACTGTGAGTGGCCATCTTTAACTCAACACGACAATACTTTTTTTCTGTAACGGAACTCAAGCCAGAAGAGCATTCTAATTTGAAACATTGATTGCAATCATAGAAGTGGCTACTGTACATAATAGCTACTCAAAATTCCCCTTTGTGCTCTACTGATGTGACCCAATTTATAAAATGGTAGGCACCGATGCACTAAAGAGTGGCACATTTACAGGATCAGCTGCTGGGGATGTTGGCTGCTTTCTATTTCTGTTGCTCTTTTGAAAAACCTTAACTTTCTCCCTTTTGCCTAGATAGCCTGTGTTCTTTTATTTCTTTTCTATAAAGAATAAGTAAAGTTTTTAGATTTCATCTGCCTGTCCAAAATTTCAAACCTGTTTAGCCAGTTCATCTACCTATAATAAGAGTAGTGAACTTGAATAATGTACGAATCATGAAAAGGCACTACCCAGATTTTTTTTTTATCAATTGGTGTCAGAAACTGCCTGGACTATAGACCCTGTAGTTTTCTTGGCAAGGTTTTTCAAAAGTGGTTTGCTATTGCCTCCTTTCTAGGGCTGATAAAAAGTGACTAGTTAAAGGTCATGCAGCCTAAGGTAAGACTAGAACTCCTAGGGTCTTCATTTCTAGCCATACACTTTAACCATTATACCAAACGGGCTCTCAAATTATAATTGCAGGCTGCTATATGGAATCTTTGATAAATGAACCTCAAAAGAGATGCAGTTTAACATCTGAAATTATAAACATAAGCTAAGACTGGCTAATGTAACAATTCAAATATATAGAAACAGATTCCTCAGGATCTATTGATTTAAAAAGATATTTTATGGAAAGAATGGAATCATAATATTTAATATGGGATGGTAAACATGGTAATTACTATGTTTGTAACTGCTACAAGATCAGAAGCTGCTTCTTTAGATATCTTTCTTCTTGCTTATTTATTATTCTTCACTTTTTTCTTTTATCCTTTTATCTTTTTTCTATTTCTTCTTCCATGTTTCTATAGTTTTTTTAAAACTTTATAAAATGTTTTAATATGCCAGGTTTTTATATGATCTATGTAGTTCAGAAAGTACATGCCATTTGCAAAGATGTCAAGTTCATTAAATTAGGTAGCCAAAATACAACATTTATTTTTCCCCTATTTATTTAACTTTTTCATGAATGTGTATAGTTCTCACATATCTATTTCATTTTTATTTCTTTACATGGTTTTCCATTTCTTGAGAAGAGGTTTGCCTAGCTGAATTACTTGATTATGCTGCCTTCTAGTGGTTATATGAAATAATTCATTTATAAAAAGATGCTTGAGATTTTCTTATTTGAAGAAAGTAAAATTGTATTATTGAAAGTTTGACAGATTATTCTTTCTGTGATTGTTGGAATAAATTTCTGTTTTGTATCTTTTTTTACTATATTTCAAAATTTACTGTCACATTGAGTGTGATCACCATTCCCTTAATAAGTTAAGACTTTTGGTATTTTTCACCTAGAGATGAGTCTGCTCCAAGCAACCAATTAGAATTAGTACTGGTCTTTGCCACAACTGAAAGAGAAAGTGGCAAAAGGATTACAAGTCTGCAGATTTTGATGCACCACCTATAGCCATCTGATGCAGCTATTACAAATAGTCCTTGCTGTAGCAAGGTAAATCCAGGTTACAAATACCAGCATTCCAAACCAATCATGGTATGACCCTGAGAGCCTGGATGCCAGAAGACAGTTGGTTACCTGCTTTTAAAAAATATAGAGAAGACCCTACTTCATACACTCCCAAGATGAAACATGAAAAGGCCATATAAAAGTCTAATTCAATAAAGACAAAGCAGATAGCAGCATGACAGGTGCGGCATGTCCCATGCTCCCTTTTTGGCATCATAATTTTATCCATATTTCCACTAGACCATATTGAGCTCTGTACTTAATATCAGCTGCCAAATGGAAAGACAATTTTTGGACACTATTATGTGGTAGATGATATACTTACATTTGACATCAAATTCAATATAACTGACGGTTCATATGCTTAGTGCCCCCCACTATATGCACTGAAGTTGCAGATCAAATCAAACAGCACAGCACAGGGAAGGCACCAGAAATAGATTTTATTATAGCTGAGGTTCTTCAAAATAATTTGGACTGATGGACTTTGGTATTTGCCTCTGTTTACATAGCAATGATTCCCAAAGATTGTGACCATGTCCTAATAATTCCTATTTACAATAAAGGTAATTGGACTTTTCCAGTTAACTACTACCCTATCAGTTTACTAGCATTATCAGGAAAATACAGTATATGCCAAATAC